CACTGCTTTTTGCTTTCAACCCTGCTGGTTCTTTTAACCTGAAACCTCATTTATTTCTGCCCACCCTTTCCTGTTTTCAACCTCATTCCACAGATTGCCAAACTTCTTTCCACATGCCTGTACCTCAACAGCATTCTAAATCCTCTCCTCTCTCCACCCATTGCAAGGCCACTCATAACTGGTTTCTCCATTTCCAGTCTCCTCCTCCTTGAAGAACAGCAATGAAACAACCACCATCATCACAGTGGCCAATATGTACAGAGTGCAGTAGGTCAGACACGGTCTTGCCTGGAGAATCCCCATGAACAGAAGTGCCTGGCAGGCTACAGTCCATGGGGTCGCATAGAGCTGGCCACGACTGACAGACTAAATGCAGGGCAGATGCTGCTCTACATACTTCAGTCATGGACACATTAACTCCCTGAATCCCATATCATTTCACTCCCACTTGTGGATGGAACAACAGTAGGACAGAGATTGAATGTCACGCTCAGGGTCACAGCATGTAAGTGACAGAGCTGGGATTTGAACTCAGGCTGGGTCTTTTAACCATTGCCTCTATCTAGCACAGCCAGCCTGACGGGTCTTTCTAGAATTCCACTTCTGTCCTTTCACTCTCCTGGAGACATCAACATGGGCTTGAATGTTTGCAAATGGGCAATAAGAAGCCAAATTCTTGATCCTAGCTTTTGAGATCTACCACCAAATGGCCTTACCTTGACTGGCCTTGGCTGGCCAACCTGGCCTGTCATTGTAATAAAGGATTCATGATAAGGAAAGAATTGACTCTTCCTAAACTTCCCTGGTGGCACAGTGGATAAGAACCCGCCTGCCAGTGCAGGGGACACGGGTTCGATCCGTGGTCCTGGAAGATTCTACATGCCACGGAGCAACCAAGCCCGTGCGTCCCAGCTGCTGAGGCTGCTCTCTAAAGTCTACAAGCTCCGACTATAATACTGAGGCCACGTGCTGCAGCTACTGAAACCCAGGCGCCTAGAGCCCATGCTCTGCCGCAAGAGAGCCCACCACAGCGAGAAGCCCGTGCAGCGAAATAAAGGGTATCCCCAGCTTGTTGCAACTAGAGAAAAACCCGTGCACAGCAACCAAGACCCAGTGTAGCCAAAAATGAATTAATTTAAAAAAAGAGAATTGGCCCTTCTCTAAACCAGCCCCCCTCCATGTTTAATCTTATGTACTTTCCAAGCTTTTTCTGTACTTACAATATCCTACTTCCTTTCCACCTACACTCAAGACTCAATTGAAGTTCTAACTACCCTGTGAACAAAAACACTGGCTTATTTGGATTGCTCCTTCCTCTCAATTCCCGCTGGAGTTTAAGTAAGAGAAAGCAATGTGGCTGACCAGTCAGTAATTCTTGAAAGTCCACTTGATGTTAAACCTGGCCAATCCTAGTTGAACAAGATAGATTTATTGCTCTTTGAAATGAAAGAGAATGTACATCATCAAGACAGTATTAGAGGGAATTCCCTGGTGGTCCAGTGGTTAAGAATCCATCTTCCTGCAGAGGACCTGGGTTCCATTCCTGGTCAGGGAACTAAGATCCCATGTGTCACATGACAACTAGAGAAAGCTCCAGAGCTGCAACGAAGACCCAGAACAACCAAAAAATTAAAAAAAAAAAAATAAGAGAGTTTTAGAAAGAACTTATTCTAAGATTCGGGCTTCTATTAGGTGGTTTTGAGGAACTTCCAGGGAAGTGGGGCTTTGTTGTGGATTGGATGCTATCAGTTAAGTGGAGGTAATTCTGTAATTGGCTATCTTTGTAAGTCTTATCTAGGAGGAAGGAAAAATAGAGGCTAACACTGTAATTGATAAAGAAGTAAAGACAGTCAGTGCTCTTAACCAGGAGAGGGGGACCATTGCTATTTTTTGGTTTGTATCATGAGCTTGCTTTTGCCTCTTCACTGACAAGATATAAAGCAGCCTTGTGTCTGCCTTGATCCATCACATTCACAGAAGGATCTTGACTGATACCAGCATGCTGTGAAATAATTGATCTTCAGCAGGAGAACACCATAGCTTTGAAGTGAGTGCCAGGCCAGCTCCTAGACACCAAGGCCTCACTGATAGAATGTCAGATGTTGGGGGTTCCATGTGTCTAAAACAAAACTAAACAAAAAACCACTACAAAAGAAATTAGAGCCAAACAAATCTGGATGAAACAGAAGCCTTCACCAGCTCTCCACAAAGGCATCCCCAGTCGACAACCACATTAATATTTCATGCAGTAACTTGTGATGACTTCTGATCCGTGTCGACTTAGAGGGGCCCGCAAACAACGTCCCAAAAGCCCCCTCCCCGGAAGGCCTCAAGGTAAAAGGGGCAACAAGGAAAACTAAAAAGAAAATTGAAAAAGAAAAGAAAACCAAAACCGGCCCCAACCCCCGGAAAGTGGGAAAAACAACCGGCAACCGGGCCCGTCAAAAAAAACGGCAACGAATGGCCCAATCAACCCTCCCAGGCAGGAAAACAACCCGGCCCAAAACCCACCCCCAAACCGCCGGAAAACCCCCTCCAACCTCCCCCAAACCCCCTAAACAAGGGGGCCGGGGGGCAAGGCAACCAAAACAAGGAAGGTGGGGAAAACAAAAAAAAAAAAGAACTTCCAAGGCCTGGGAAGTGAAGCTCATCCTTGCTTTTCCAGTTTCACATTCAACTTTCCTTCACAGTTGCTGCCTGCTTGAATTCAGGTCCAACACCAGATGCAGAGGCCACAACCTCAAGGAGACTTTGCCACCAGTGCGCATAGTTGTCTGGTCATTGTAATCCCTTATACTACATGGCCCTTAAAAGTTCTGAAAAATCCCTGACTGATATGCACTCCAGATTTCCAGCTAAGAAGAGATCCCTCATCCTTGGCATTCTGTCCCTAAGATGTAAGGACCACATGACAAAGAGAGATGGATGGATTCCTCCAGTGCCAGGTATGGCCCAGGGACAGACTTGTATCTCACTCCCTCGTCCTGATTGGTGTGGCTGAGTGCCCGTAATGAGAGCAGTACTGGGGCAGGAAGATCTAGGGAGAGTGGTAAGTGGCCATGACGATATAAAATAAGCAGCCACAGGTGGTGTCACCCGGCCTGGGGCCAGACTCAGCTTCTAAAGGGAACAAAGTCATAGCAGAGATGATGTAACAGGAACCAAATCTGAGCGGTGAGGCAAAGATAGAAAATGACATAAAGAGTAAGGAGAGTGTCAAGAAACTAGGGAATGTGATTCTGCAGGTGAGGAGTCAGACCAGCGTGAAAGAATCAAAGGTGTAAGTATGGATGCCCAGGTGAGAACTGGTAGATATGAAGGCTTTATGGAGCTGTGCCCAGCTGGACAGTCCTGCCCCTGCCAGGGGTTAGAGGCACTGAGCTATGTGTCAAGTACTATGTTTACTACTTTACACAGTAGCTCACTGAATCCTCACAGCTACCGCAAAAGACAGACTTCAGCATGCCAACCTAATAAATGACGAACTGACGCAGGTGACATTACGTGACTTGCCCAAGATCACTCAAAATAAGTAGAAAGACAGGAATTTAGATCTTTTTGATCTGACCACCATTACACCTCTTGAGATCCAAACTTTATAGGCTTCAAAACAGCAAGAAAAAACCTTTTGAGCAACCTGATAAATATTTGTCAAATCCAACAGTCCAGCTTAACCTACTATGTGCTGGATGGTTGTTCCTCAGAAGTTGATACATTGTTCTCAGATTAAGCTGCAAGGATGGAAGGAGTGAGTGAAAGGTGGGGGGTGGGGAGCCTGACTTATGGAAAGCCCCAAGAAAGCCTAAACAAGAGAGAAAGTACCAGAAATTCTCTGCTGGCTCAGGGAATGATGCAAAGACACAGAGCTGGGGACGCAGGTTGGGGGACAGAAGTGGCAACCAGCCTTGGGGCTAAAGTCCTTGGGGTCGAAGTTCTCTCTGATAAGGGAGGGAAGAGTGTCTGTTGGGGTCTGTAGGATGGGACTGTCCCCCACGTGTCCTGCACCAACCTTGGGCTTTCAGGCCTCAGGAGGTATGGAAAAGACAGAGAAGTTCCAGAAGCCTTCAGGGGAGGAAGAGGAGGTCACTGAAAGTCTGGCTGGGGAGCCTCCCAAGAAGGCTGCCTCTATGGCCAGGAGGCTGAGTAACCCAAACAAACCAGTGTCAAGACAGACTCCCCCCAGATCTCAGGAGTATCAATGCAAGCCAGACCCCAAGAGCAGCCATGTGAGCGGGGAGGACCGCAGAGTCCCAGGAAAGCAGAGAGAACTCCGCACAACTTACACTGTTACAGACCTGAGCACCCAGTGTCCCCCAGATGCCCAGGAATGAGAAGGTGCTACCACACACACCCAAGAGCCTGCAGAAACTCAGGAGGCCTCCAGTGTCCCAGGGCTCAGTCACTACACCTCCATGGTACCATCTGGGACAGGAGGAGACTGGTGAAAGCCGGGGAGAAAGGATAAAAGAGTGAGTCACCCCCAAAAAGAGAATGTTCTTGAAAAGACCACTTCAGGGACTGGATTGGATTCTTTTTTTTTTTTTTTCCTCTGCTATGCAGTGGAAGTCAGGTGTGGGGCTTGAAAGGAAAGTTGTGTAAGTTCTAGAGAAGAATGAAGTAGTGGGTTCTTGGCATATCTCAATTGAGTGTGAATAAATAGGTGATTCCAATTCAGATGCTATCAAAATATATCTTAGAGATTTCTGGAGGTTCCAAGCAGAGTTTTGTGCTTGAATGTAAAACAGGAGAACCAGAGGGGTCACTAGAAATTGTCAAGGCCCTGGTATTTTCCTCTGCTTGTGCCTTATCTAATGGTGCCTATCCCCTCTCTCCCCTGCCCTAGGAACAGCAAACTGCAGGCACTGGCATTGAAAAGATGGCACTGGCTTTGCTATATGCACTCTTTGGGAATGATGATCTATTAAAAGGCTGCCTCCAGCCACCGGTCCCAACACAGGTAGCTCAAAATGGCTGCAGGCAGGAATCAGAGCCATAGGACATGTGTTCCGTGGGTCAGAAGCCAACCCTGGTTTTATTAAAGTATGTACAGGCGACTGGGAAGGAAAAAGACCACTCTGTGATATGGCCAGTGCCACAGTCAGGCTTGCTGTCTGGGGCTGGCCTGCCAGTGGCTCTTTGGAAGTTGGTCTGGTTGGAGCCTTGGAAGAGACCTGATGAATCCGGTCTTGACTTTCTCTCGACCAGAGCTGACCATGGCATCTGCAGCACTAAAAGGCGGGCAGGGAAGGCCACTGGGTTGGTTGAATGGGGTGAATTTCCCTGCCACTCACATCGTCTCTTTGGAAGAAACTGAGTTCTTGTAAGCAGCGTGAGAATCTTCCCAGGACCCCAGCAGTCAGGGAAACAGTGGCCTACCAGAAAGTAAGCTCGACTTGCCCTCCACTGGTTTTGAAATCCGAAGCCCGGGCATAGCCAAATTCACGGGCGGAATCCCACTTTGGGTCCATACCGCCCCGGCTGACAGTACACGGAAGGCTGCACAGAAATGCTCCTCCAGGGGCCCGCGGCTCACTTCATGTTTCTCTCGATCCAGTCTTTAAAAGGCAGAACTTTGGTGAAGGCCGTGGAGAGGCTGTGGCTGCACGTCTTGTCGTAGCTCCAGCTGACCAGCCCCACCAGGTGCCAGCGGGGCTCCGGGGACGCCCGGCCCGGGAAGGACATGGCCGCGATGCCGCCCGTCTCAGCCGTGCAGATGTCGGAAGGGGCCGTGGGGTCGCGGCCGGCACAGAACATGTTGTCCGTGACGCTCACCGGGATGCCCTGCTCCTCATGCTGCTCCTCACAAAGCAGCGGGTCCGCCACCCTCACCACCCCCGAGCGCAGCGCATCGTCCTTGTAGCTGGGGCTCCTGGTGTCCGCCAGGACGTTCCAGCCGGCCACGGTGATGCGGGACTCCTGGAAGGAGGTGCTGAGATCCCGAGGGGCCGCCAGGCAGATGGGCTGGACACGGGTGCTGATGCGAGCCTTGTCCAGGAGCTTCAGGATGGCAATGTCTGTATCCAGCAGGATGGGGTCATAGTTGGGATGGAGAATGATTGCAGAAATCTACGAAGGTAAAGAATGGACAGCAGAGGTGAGCAGCCGACTCCACGGTGATGGCAACAGGCAAGCCCCGGGGCTCAATTATCGGGAGAAAATGTCTGAGAGCCAGCTGCAATTATTCGGACACACTTGGCTCAATGGATCATGGAAAGCAATTGCTCTGTTTCCAGGGTTCAAACTGAAATGCCGACCAGGGCTGGCAGGTGGTTTTTAAATAAGTAGAGTGGACAAGTGAGGCTTTGCAGAACGGGAGTGTACAACCTATGCAGAGTGGGCAGCTGTCACTTTGCTTAACTGACTACTGCCACGCAGAGATGCTCATTTTGCCAAAGGATAGACTCCAGACCTCTGGCTGAAACCTCCTGGTTTTTAAATGTTGGCAAATAACTGATTAAAAAAAAATACATTAGCACTATCAAAACACAAACCTCAACAGGCTACCAGCTGGCAACCTCTAGTCCACTGTAAACATTTCATTTACCCTCAAGCCAGTAAGATAGAGCTACACCTAGGGTGGTCCACAAGACTTTTCCACCAAGCCTCCCCTGATCGTCCCCATTCTTGCTCATCACCCTCTTTGATGGAGCCCCCTGGAGCTTACATCTGTGATACGCTGTAACATTTTTATAGACTTGTTCTATATCTGAACTCATTTACCCAGGGATTCTATTGTGCTGGATTAGTCACAATATACTAGTCTGTCTCTTCACCTAGCCTGTGGACTCTTGAGGGCAAAAGTCATGCATTGTTCAGTTCTGTGTGTATTTCCAGTGAATGGCATGCTGTGGGAACTCAACAATAGATGGATGGATGGACAGGTGGATGAGCTAGATTGCATGAGAGGGTGGATGGTACAGACAGAGGGAGGGAGGGAGGGAAAGAAAATAATATTAGAATTTATTAGGAGTCTCTATGTCCTCACAGTCTACCTAGCACCATGTGCTAAACATAATAGGTGGTTGGTTACCTTTTGATGACCCCAATGATAGAAGATATTTTTTATTATCTTATATAAAAATTTTTTGGGGGGAAGACTCCATAGTCTTTCTAGATGCCCCTTTCTAGTATCTGCCAATAATGAAAGATTAGGCATCTAGGTGGCACAGTTGGTAAAGAATCTGCTTGCCAATGCAGGAGATGCAAAAGACACGGGTTCAATCTCTGGGTCAGGAAGATTCCCTGCAGGAGGGCATGGCAATCCACTCCAGGATGCTTGCCTGGAGAATTCCATGGACAGAGGTGCCTGGTGGACTACAGTCCATGGGGTCACAAAGAGTCCGACAGTACTGAGCAACTAAGCATGCATGTGCCTAATATTTCCAGGCTCTGGACCGGATGCCAAGGTGACAGACTGACAGGATAACTGCTCTCCTGGTGCTGGGAGCTGCTGGGAAAGAAACCGGACTTCCAGGCTGCAGCCCTCTCTCACCCGCAAGCTCTGGATGCTCTTCTCATCCCGGTCGTCATCCCTGTAGAATTTCCCCAGGACGACTTTGAGGTCTGCTGTCTTGATCACGGTGACCCTCCCCAGGTCGGTGACGCAGTGGGCAGCCACCACCACGGTGCGCTCGTTGACCAGGGCGCCGCTGCAGACCAGAAACCAGGCATCCTTGTGCAGACTGCCTCCATGCACCCCGCCGGCCCTCCTGTAGATGGCAGCCTGCCACGGCCAGCGCGTGCCCTGGGTCTTCGGAGCAGAGATGTTCTCGGTTTTCCCACAGACTATGGAGAAAGCACCAGCTCAGTGAGATAAATTCAGACCTTCCCATCCAGAGGGGAATGTGTCAATCAACCAACAGAGCATATATCTGGAAAGGTGGGCCCTACAGGTGTCAAGACCACAGAGCATCTAACCTGTTTTTTTTTTTCCTCTTTAAATACTAATCAACCACCTTAACATTCTTGGCTATAAAGTTGAGGGTTATAATCGGGAGTCTTACCATCCCATGCACTTACTGGGTAAGTTGCCTAATTCCTTAGAGCCTCAGTCTTCCTGCCTGCAAAATGGATACAGTAATCACAACTGTCTCCTAGGTTCTTGCAGAGAGTGGATGAGATGATGTATATAAACAGACTCAAAATATCATGACTATTAGTATAAAGATGACCACCTCGAACTAAGCCATACTCTTCTCCTCTGACAAAAAAGATGGGGGTAGTAGCTTAGTATGTGCAAATGCCCGTTCCGGACATTTCCATGTATTATCTCAGTAATCATTTTATAACCTGTAAGTGACTGATACCTCATTACTTACTAACAGTAATTAATTAATTAATTAAGTGATTCATTAATTACTAACAGTAATTAAACAGTAAGTAAGTAATTAATACCATTGGGTGATGAGGATGAAAACTGGGGCTCAAGTGACCAATATGACGTAACTAGAAGTTCTCTGGCAGTTTTAACCCCTCCCCACTTGGTGTTTAATGACTGTTCTCTCCCTTTTCTCCAAGTAAATATGATAAAATCATCCACAAGAAAGTATGCCCCCTCTTCCTCAAAAATTCATCTAAGATTTAATCACCTCTCCTGGGTAATAAGTTTAAGCCAAAGGAAGGAAACTCTAACTGTGGAATTTCAGACTTCACCAAGCTGCGGGAAAGTATTAGAGGACTATTCTTTCGGACAAGGATTTTTTTTCCCCAAAAGTCTTCAACAGGGTCAGGGGCTTTTCATAGGCAGCCATGGGAGATTCAAGCTGCTTTAGCCCAAGGATGAGCCTTGACTCACTAGGGATGCAGGACGGGGCACGCCCACTCCACTTCCCAGTCCTTAGACACGTCCTCCGGCTGCTGCCCAGGCGGCGGTAGAAGGGTGAGATGCACTCGTACTGGAGCTGGGTGTGGAGATGTTGGTAACCAGGCGGCAGGTCTCCGAAGGGAAGGACTGGCTTCTTCGTAGGGGCATCCTGCAGTTTCTGCTTGCTGAAGGCTGATGAGTATAGCTGGTGTAACGGCGTCTCCCTGCATCACGGCAGAGGGGCCCGGAGAGAGAGGAGGGCAGGAGACAGTCATTACAGCCCTTTTAGTATCCATGCCAAGCTCCACGAAGATGTTTGGTTACAAAGGAAGAAAACAACAGCTATCCATCCTCTGTGTGTGGGTGACTTGCTCTCCCTTTCTCCTCTTACCTCTCTGTCTCTCTCGCACACACACACATCTCTTCTGCCACTGAGCAGATTTTCTTGCACACTTCAACTTTCTATTTATTCCTCCATTTCCACTTCTGGCATGCCTCCAGCTACCCAGGGTTTTAACCAGAGAGCATAATATCTGACATAATAGCTGCTATCCAAAGGTACGCTATACATGCACACACACACACCAATTAATTGTGAAATTAAACAAGAAAAGAAGTTAATTTCAAGGAAAGAAATCCGGGCGACTGCTCTGCTCTAACCATTATCATAATGGAGCAATATAAGGAATTGACTCGAACTAAACTGTGTTGATACAGTAGCTTGATTTAGCAATTAACGGATGTAATTAGTCCACCCCAGAGAACAGAACCTTCTCTCAGAGCGCATTGATTGGGAGAAATAAGAAGTGTTGTGTGCAAATGTGAAAAGGCCTTTTAAATGAGCCCTGAAGTTGAAGCCCCAGAGGCCACTCTGGGGTTCTTGGGAGAGAGGTATGCACACTACACTCATTTTACATCAGTGCATAATGACTATTAACTGACACGTTAGATTTCCTTTAGGAATCAATGTTTTCATCCCTGTTTAATGCATGGAGAAAGGAAACCCAGAGAGGTAGGTGGGGATGCTGAGGGGCACACAGGAAGCTAAGACAGGACCCCAGACAGCAGCACTGGGCAGTCACGCTTCTCACCCTGATGTTCCTACCCTACCAATCCAATACCATTGTAAGAAATGTTTCATGTGTCCATACAATGCTTTGCTCAGAGCAAATATTCCACCTCCATTGATTCCATTTGACAAATCTTTAGCTCATATTTAGGACCAGGTCTGAGGTTCAGGGGGCTTTTGTACTCGCAAACAAGCTCAGGTTTAGGCCACTGAAGGTATGCAGTGCCTTTGGGGGTTCTTGGGTGAGCCTGGCTGCTGAGACCATCATATCCTTGCTCCAGCAGCAAATCTTCCAGGAAGATGCCTTGCATTTAATCCTTATCAATTTCTAGAGGCAAACATTATTGTGACTACCCTTATTTTTGAAAAGAGGAAACTAAAGGCTCTGCAAGCTTAGGAATTTGCCCAAGAATAGCCAGCACTAAAGACAGATGACAGAAACAGCTCTTGAGCCCTTCCATCCAATCCAGTCATTCACTCATTCACTATTTTGGGGGTGTCTACGATGTGGCAGGTGCTATTCTAGGCACTAAAAGTTCAGCATGAACTAAACAGAAAATGCACGTGTAACTTTCACAATTGTTTTGGTGGGTTGTGAGGAGACAGAAATTGAACAAATAAACAAACAAATGTCAGTAGGAAAATAGAACAATAGGATGCCAAGGTGAAAATTGGAGATCTCTGTAAAGGTCAGAGAATATTGGGTAAAGAAGTCAGCTCAGCAGTCAGGGTGGAGGTAAGGTTGCTATCTTTTTTAAAGGATGGTCATGGAGGGTCTCTTTGCCAGGTAAAAACTGAGTAGGGAACTGAAGGAAGTCAGGCATTAAGCATTGTTGAAATCCAGTGGAACCAACTTCCCTAGCTTGCCACCAGGGGTCCCCACCTCTATCTTTCCAGGAGAAAGACTAGGTGGACCCCCTGCCCACCAACCCCCCCACCCCCCACCCACCGAGGCTTCACATCCTTCATCAGGAGCTAGGCATTCATCTCTGGTTCCTAGCTCCACCAGCCTACCTTATCTGATTGATCACTACCAAGGACATCTTCCTAAGCCAGAACTGACTGTGTTTGGTAGGAATGCCATGTCCTTAAAAGCTGCATGATAAATACGCAGTCATTTTAGGAGGACTCAAGTATTAAAATCCAGCTCCTCAAAGGCCATCTTAGTCTGGCTTCCCACCAGCCACTGACTTTCCCACGATCCAGTGAAACCTGTACATCTTCCAACAGTTGCTACCTCTTGGCTAAAGGCAGCTAGCTAATAAGCCTCCATCTAACAAGCCCTTTTCTTTCCTGGCAAGTCAACACGGAGTGTCCCTAAGAAACCTCAGACTGTCTTTGGCCAAACACAAATAGGGAAAGGGGGTGGAGAAAGGAATGTTCATTTGCCTTTAAAGCAGAGTTCAGGTGTTTCAACCTCACCTTGACTGAACTTGCATTGGAAGAACTTTCCGCCTCACCAGGTCTGAGATCTTTGGTTCTCGGCAGGCTAGAAAAAAAGAAGATAATGCTGCATAATCCTTTTCCATACTAATCGTTCACACCATGAATTCAGATTGATACCTGACCACCCTCTCTGGACACCAGGGCGCATTCCCCAGGCTCTCAGAGGTGAGATGTGTCAGCCAAGCATGAACAGCTCGCTTAGCAAAAGAGGATGCCGAGGGACTTCCCTGGTGGTCCAGTGATTAAGAATCCACCTGTCAACGAAGGAGAGCCAGGTCCGATCCCTCATCCAGGAAGATCCCACATGCTGCAGGGCAACTAAGCCTGTGAGCCACAAATACTGACCCCATGCTCTAGAGTCTGTACTCTATAACAAGCAAAGCCACCCTGATGAGAAGCCCATGAGTGCAACTAAGCCCCAGCATGGCCCAAAGTAAATAAATGCATTTTTTTAAAACAGAGCATGCTGAGTTTCATCTATTAATAAAAAGGCAGCCCCCTTGGAAGAACCCAAGTAGAATAAACAAAACACATCTGCAGAGCTGCTCCACCCAGGTGATATGAAAGTGTGAAAGGATTAGTTGCTCAGTTGTGTCTGACTCTTTGTGACCCCATAGACTGTAGCCCACCAGGCTCTTCTGTCCACGGAATTCTCCAGGCAAGAATACTGGAGTGGGTTGCCATGCCCTCCTCCAGGGGATCTTCCCCACCCAGGGATCGAACCCATGTCTCCTGCCTTGCACGGCAGATTCTTTTCTGTCTGAGCCACCAAGGAAGCCCAGTGATATGAAGCAATAGTAGTTAATAGAATTATCTGTTCACGTAAATTGTATTAGCAAACTAGATCAATATGGAATAAAAGCCAAGGGCAAGGTTCTAAAATACAGCCCAAGATAGGAAATCACAAGGTTCTCATTTAAAACTGAACAGCAGTGTCAACCAACAATAAGTCTTGAGTAACTGATTCCTCCAGGTCCTTTCTCTGCAATTAAGGCTTCTAATGATCCTTTGAGGGCAACTCAAAGCCTGGTTTAATTTTGTTGAAGTCTCTCTTTCTTCACAAGTGAAAAGGAATCCTTCCCATCTCACTTTCCCAATCAAGCAGCCAACATTTGTCTAATTAGCAACCTAGGGAACTCTAGTTGTATTAATTTGTAAGAGAAGGGTTGACAAAAAAATCTCCAAGGACATAGGTAACACCATTTCCATACCTAATGAAATCAAGAACCATAGTCTGTGCTGGTGGGGATGAAGGTCACTCCTGGCTAAAGTCTAAAGTCTTCCTTTCACAAACTTGTTCTTTTATTCCTTTCCCCATGATTCAGGTTGTTGACAAACACTCAGAAGGCAAAGTGGAGGACTGAAGCAATTATCTGGATAATCTAGGCGAAGGATATGCTTTTCTTCCCAGGAAACAGAGAGATAGTTGTGTGTGTGTGTGTGCGTGTTGTGTGTTTGTGTGTGTGTTGCTTGCTCAGTCCTGCCGCCGAAAAGAGAGCTGTTGTTGACCTGGAGCAACAAGTGAATCAACTTGATAAGAAACTATGGGGCTTCCCTGGTGGCTTAGTGGTAAGGATCCACCTGCTAATGCAGGAGACACAGGTTTGATCCCTGATCCTGGAAGATCCACATACCATGGAGCAACCAAGCCTGTGTGCCACAACTACGAATCCCAGAAACCTGTGCTCTAGAGCCTGGAAACCTCACCGACTGAGCCCACCCACCTAGAGCCCGTCCTCCGCAACGAGAAGCCCTGCAGCCAAGAGCAGCCTCCACTCTCCACAACTAGAGAAAAGCCCCTGCAGCAACGAAGACCCAGCACAGCCGGAAAAAAAAAAAAAGTAGATAGATAAATAAAATTGCATATATATATATATATCATATATATGTATAAGAAACTACATGTGCCTACTGTCATGGAGTCAGGTCCAAACTTCCTTATGCAATGTCCCATTTGTTCTGGTCTCAAACTACCCTTTAAAATTTACCTCCCAGATTCCCCGATTGACTCATTTTTTTACTTACCATGATTCTTTCACTTCTGCCTATACCACTTTTTGTCTTCCAACTGGAATATCGTCCCAACTCCCCTCTATCTCAGTAAATCCTTCCCTGCTTCCCAGAGGGGCTCCAGCCCCCTAGCTACAGGAGAACTGGAGCTCATATTTCTCAGAATACACACCACTCATTTGCTCTATAACTCTCCTTTGAACGTTCAAGGGTTTATTGTCTTTTAAAGATGCTTTTAAACATTTTAACATTTCAAACTTCCCTCCACACAGGCTGCCAGGGATGATGTGTCTATTGTGTCTTTTTATTTCTTGCATTGATTTAATGTTGCACAGAGAGTAGATAAATGTAGCCATATAAATGCATATTAATTGTTTCAGTTCTATCCTTGGGCTTACACATAAAAAACAGCCTTGTCATCTCTCTAAACGGCTCTGATAGCTACATCTCTCTTCTTGATCACTTCAAGACATTGTGATGAGGATAAACTGGTCCTTTGGCAGTCTAAAAAAGAAGCACATGTTTTATGGATGGTTTTCAAAATAAGAATAATGTATGGTTTCAGTAAGAACTTAAAAGAGAAAGGCAATTTTTTCCCCAGGGCTTCAAAAACAGGTGTGGGAGCTACCAAAATGTCCAGCAACTCCACTTATCTCTACAGACTTCAGAAATATTTGCCAGTTACCTTTTATACAGATTGGCTGTTTCCCTGACCACTCTCCATTCTGCTGGCAAGTTCTCATCTCATTACCACTGAGAACATAGGAGCTGTTACAAAAGAAGGTCAGGACGGTGCCGATTTTTGCATAGCGGCCATGGATAAGCCCAGGGCCTCCTGTAATTTTCCTGTACCCATTGACTGGGCCCCCAGGGTCTGAGCAGTTTCTTTCTTCAAGGACTGAAAGTGAAAAGAAAAGAAAAGGAGAGTTATTAAGAGTCTGAAGCATTCCATTTTAGCACTGAATCTTTTCACATCTCATTGAAATAAAAATGCAGTGATATGGAGCCTGCTAACAATGGTATTCAAAGGAATTACCAAGAGAAAATGCATAACAGAAAAATGCACGCATTAGACATATCTTCTTGTTTTAACAATTTATTCTTAAATTGAGAACTGTTTCATACCATATATATATATAAATTTGACACCACATCAGGCTCTCATGTAATCACATTCATTTGCCTCCCAAATTTGTGAAAGCTGGACAGGCCTGGACAAAATAAACATTTTGCCTAGATTTTATGATCAGTATGCAAGGATTATTTGTTTTCAGTATTGTAATATCATCTCCTTCATTCCCTAAAGCTTGGGCAATTAAACCAAACTACTCAGTTTCCTATTTGTGTTGTACCCAGAAAGTAGAATAGATTAGAAATGAGAGTATATTTATGAATTTAGATTTTCTATTCTATCTGCCAGAACACTGGGTGTGTTAAAAGTTGTAATTAAAAAACACTAGAGGCAATATAAATTCAGAGATACAACAAATTCCCCTAATCTCCAAATAGAACTTTTCATCTAAACATTTAACAATACTCATTATATGAGATCTCTATTCTCTCATTCACTCTGCATAGCTGCTTAGAGTAAAATTGTCATCAACAAAACTATCCTGAGCCCCAAACAGGATATTAGATATATGCTGGAAATATTCGATCAGCTAAATATATTTTTCTCAAATGGATTATGGTACAATACTGAGTATTACTTGCCTAAGGATACAGAGTAAGTCCCCTTAGAATTCAACCTTTAATTACTGAGTTTAGATACCAATCACTCTATCAGGCTCCCTAGTCTCTTTTTAATCATTTTTCTAAGATATGGGCTCATCCCTATAAAACAGGGGCTTTCCAGGTGGCTTGATGGTAAAGAATCCGCCTGCCAATACAGGAGACACAGGTTTGATCTCTCATCCAGGAAGATCCCCCTGGAGCAGGAAATGGCCACCCACTCCAGCATTCTTGCCTGAAAAATCCCATGGACAGAGGTGCCTGGCGAGGTAGCAGAGAGTCAGACACGACTGAGCACTCTATAAAACGGTCATCACACAACACAATTATGCACTGGACATTCTTTTCTTCCCTTAAGTGTTCCAGTTACCTTTCAAACAACTTACTTGCTTGCCTCCAGGCAAGAAATGAATATCCATTCCTATAACACTTTTACAATATTTCAGAACTAAAAATTAATAAATTGTTCCTATGTGCAATTTGGCAAGGTTGTTAAAACCGGTCAAGCTCCTGGTTTGTCTACGCTAAGACTGCTCACAGCTCACATGACAGATGATCTCAATGACACTGTGTGCTTTGGACTATGCATTCTGAGCGACCTCCCTGGTGGTTGATGCCAAAGCCCCATTTTAAATGTTAAAAAGGGATCTCACTGAGTGAGTTATTTAAAAATACCAAAATGGCATAGAGAAGGCACTGTACTTTTTGAAGCTTCAAGTGGACTCAGGAAAATCCCAGTGTTTATACTTCCAGGAATCCCTGGATGATGTGGAACAAAGAGGCAGAAAGAGCTTTCCATATTGCTTCATTGACAGGCCACCTTCTTATAGTACAGACTCATTTAAAGCTGAATATGTAGCCCAGAAACAACCAGGGGGAGCCCACAGACTTCAGTCATCTCAAAAACATATGTCATACCTGCAAGTTTTAGAGAATGGAATTCACCGTCCACATAAAAATCAGACAATGTCTCATAAAAACCTGTGTTACTAGCTTCTGACAAAATTTAGCTCTGGAAACCCTGGGTCTGTATTCTCACACGGCAAGAATCAGCTGGTGCAGGAAGGAGCTCTCCACTTAGGATCACGTTCTTGCCTTGGTCACAGTCCCCACCCACCAGCTGCCTGGTCCCCGCAGAGACTTCAATCTGTGACCAGTTAGACTATCAAAGGGCTATGATTTGTGTAATTCAAGTGTAGTTCCTCATTCATTTTAAACTTTGCTTGCTAGAGATCATGGCCAAGAAAGACTGAGTGATACTTAAGACCTGTCCTGGAATATGGAAAGAAAATGAACTAGCCTCTAGCCATGTCAGCCTCAGTTAGAATACAAGAAATCACTTCCACTGTAAGCCTAATCATTTGATTTTTCTCCTCTTAGAAGTAAGTACCTTCACGGTCCATTAGGCTTCCACTTCATGATCGCCTACGTGAGAGATGGGCCCTATTTCTATTACATTTCATGTGGGTTTAACTGGCAGGAACCTTGGAGAGCTCTTAAGCCCTTCCAGGTAATAAAGCCTCATGACAATCCAAGTTCTTCATGTCATTGAAAATGGTTTAAAGGAAGATTTTAAGGGCAACAGACTCAGGATATCTAAACACGTCTGCCCAAGGTGGAGGAATTCTGCCACATTTTTATAATTCTTAAATGCATATTCCTTTATAACATGACATGTTGAAATCAAGACACATGCCTACTTTTCTTGTAGGTCTACTTCTCTTTCATTTGGTTTTACGTTATGCTCATGAAATATGACTAGGGTTGAGCAGGATGACGCTTCCAAGGGAAGGTTCAATGGAAGGTGAGACCATGTGGCTGAAATTCTAGAGAAATATAGATGTTAGAAATAGATTCATAAAAGATTCAGATAATGGAGTTGTCTGACACAACTTAAAAATAAATAGACTGAAAATATTCAAGGAAATAAAATACAAAATTGAGGACTTTGGAAGAAAACTTTCACCTTAAAAAGTAACCCAAGGAGAAATCTAGAACACAAAAGTTACAGTGACATAAAGTAAAAAATTCAGTAGATGAGTTTAACAGTAAATCAGATACAACTGAAGGATACCGACGAACTGAAAGATAGCTTCAAAGAAAAGACTCAAAATGAAGCCTAAGAAACAAAAAGATGAAACACGTACCGGAAAATGTAAAGATATAGTAAGAAGGTTAATAAATACATGTAACTGGCATCCCAGAAGAAAAGAGAGAGAACAGAGAAAAACCAATAGGTAAGGAGAGAGCAGCTGAGATTTTTCTGATGAAAGACACTGACCTACAGATTTACAAGGTCCCAGGCCAGATAAGTACGAAGAAAATCACACACAGACATAGTGTGTAAAGCTGTTCAAAATCAAAATGAAAGAAAGAACATTTAAGCAGCCAAAGGGAGAAAAGGACTGGAAATGCATACTCTAAAATAATTACTGGTTTGTAACATGGAGAATGCTTCTTGCTTCTTTCTACTATTTTTTTCAAGTTTTATAATCAGAAAATGTAGCCATAAAATTTTGTATTTTATAATTTTGTTGTTGTCCTATAGCTATTATTTTTTAAAGTGTCAGGGAAATGGTTTGGGTATCCCCCGCTAAGCCTATAAATCTAGCACTAAGTCTTCATGCCTTTTTTGTGTGTGCTCCCAGACTCCCTCTGCCCCCTGCAAATCTCTTTGCTGCTGCTGCTGCTAAATCACTTCAGTCGTGTCCGACTCTGTGTGATCCCATAGACGGCAGCCCACCAGGCTCCCTCGTCCCTGGGATTCTCCAGGCTAGAACACTGGAGTGCGTTGCCATTTCCTTCTCCAGCAAATCTCTTTACCATCCTGCATAACCACAGTGTAATCCAACGTTCCATGAACTCAGATTTAAATGTTTTGTCACTAGACTCTGGTGGAAAAATAGTGGCCTCCAGGATCAGATAGCTTATAGGCTCAAATATACAGGTATTCAACAAATGTCTGTTTGCGGGTGGAAAGAATAAAGGCTAAAATGTACTCATTCTTCCACTTAATAAACTAGGGCCTGGGAAAATTAATCTTTTCAGGTCTTGTTTTCCTGTCTATAAAGCAAGATAATAACACTTTTCTGGTTGGTCTGATTTTGAGTAGCAATTTAAACTACACATAGTCTCTATTTCCCTTGTTGCCTTTATTTACAAAGCATCCAACTGCCTTTAAAAATCAATTCCCCAAATGCATACACCTTAAAGAAAAACCCATAAAGGAATCTAATTATTGGACCTTTTCAAATACAAAGCAATACTTGGTCTCTTGGTAATGCAATGGGTTTCCAGATCTGGGTCCAGTGTGTTGTTGATTCAGACTTCCGGGTACCAAGCATGGTCTTTGTACATTCATCTATTTTAATCCTGTGTAATGAAGCCTTAAAATTATATTCTTACATCAAACATCCACTGAGCATTATTCTCTCTTCCATCATTTATTTCCTGTACGTTTCAAAGCTATACCTTCTCTTCTGATGCTTTTGAAGAGAATTCTAAGACTTCCTTATCCATCCTTTTCTCTCCCAGTTTAGACCTCTACCTGTTGGGTTCATAGACCATCTGCATCTCATCAGAGCATCTCCCTAGGGTTATATTTCAAAGCTATCCCTCTTTTCTCCCTGTGGGTCCTCTGTTTAGAAACCTCTGTATCTCCCCACTGAACAGACTCATGATTCTTTCCTATTTGATGTTTCAAGAGCTTTTGATTTCATTTCTCCTCGGTGGGATGGATGTTTTCACACAAAGCCAAATGAGAATTTAAAACATCTGCATCACTGGTGTGAAGGAGCATCAAACTCCTGCTTTGCTAAGTAAAATATTCCATAATTAGTCATAAATAGCACATTGTCCTATTACTTTGGGGACTCAGCCTAGGGATATAAACACATTAAGTTCAGCATGCCTTTACATGCTACCTTGTGAGCAAAGGCAGTACTCAGGATGCACTTCTCTGCGATTCTGTTTCAGATAAACACTTTAAAAAAGACCTTCTCTCCCCTGTCTTCTTTTGTTCTTCAGGACAGCAGTATTAGGCAGTTCACTGTGACACCACTTTACCGAGGAGATGTGATAGCTTTGCATGGCTTTTGTAGTGATCACTGTTGGTGTCCCATCGAGGTCTCCTCTCATCCTTTTCCAAACTCTGCTTCTATATGTGTG